TTGGGATTCTCACCTATGAGGTGAGGTAACAATATTTACTGCTTCTAGCCTGTCTTTGTATTTCTCTGCTCCATACTCACCAGGAGCAATTGAATAGAATTATGCCTGTGAAACATTTTAAGGTTCTTGGGGTAAGATGGTCTTTTCAGTTTAAGACATTATTATATCCCAAACAAGATTGCTCCTTTTTTATCATTGTGGGTTCCTGACTTTTCAAGTCTATCTGTATTTCGGTGCAGAGAAGGGTAAACTGAAGGAAATGGACACAATGGTTTCATGGGCTTCTCCACATATTTATTACGTCTCCAAATTGAATCTTGAAGCCTTGTCAGAGTGTTATTTTTCTAACAGAGCAGGCGTTAAGTGGCTATAGAAAATAAACTCACCTTCTGATATCTTTCTTATTGCTTGCTACATCCACTTACTGTGAAGATTATATTGTAAGGTGCGACAGGAGATGTTGTGCGGCAAAAGAGACTCACCACTTCGTAATTCTGTTTGTTCAAGTTTACTTCTTTTGCATGGGCTTTTGGGTTTCCTTGTCATTTCTGAAATGCTTTAGTAAATGTTGGGTATTATTTTTATGTGTATCTCTACAAGCTGATTCTATCCAACTGATTTGTAAGTTGCGTACACTTTTTTTGTAGTAAAATTCTGCTATTTGTAGTACAATTTCTATAATTCAGCCAGGGAAAAGGGAAACCTCCAAGAAATGGCTAACAATTGCTAGTAAATGAATTGTCTTTTACCTATTTTTTAATGATTGTAATGTCCTCTGGCAAAATCAGATTGTTTGATAAGGGTAAGGTTATTGAGCTCTAGATAAAAGATAGCTTCCATTTGACTGCATGTTTCATTAACGAGAGCGCTAGTACCAGTCACATTTTTTTTTTCCTTAACATAATTACTTTAAGGAAATACAGAGACAAATGAGTAAACACTAGTCTTTAACAATGTTTGTTCAGATTATTGCAGTTTAGAGATATGGGAATCTGGAATTGAGATGGCTTAGAAATAAATCTTTGCTTATATGTAACACCTTTAGTTCAAAGATTTGAAAACACACAAACTTTAGAGGAAGAATGGGAATTCTGTTTCGCTTATTGTTTGTTAAGTTAATTTAAGTTCCTAGAAAGTCCTTTTTATTTCTACAAATTCACATGCCCTAGTTTTCCTGGAATTTACCTACCCTTCAAATTGTTTCAGATCTCTTCCTGTGTCATGTTTCTTAAAAGATTCACTTTCTTTACTTCCTCATTCTGATTTGTTCTGTAACTGATGTGGCTTTTGTTCTTCTTTCTGAGGTCAGCAGTGACATCCTAATAACTCATCCCAATGGCTATTTTTCTGTCCTTCTGTTGTTTCTTCTCTTTACCCAAGTTGATGTCACTGACCACTAAACTCATTCCTCCCTTCTTGAACGTCTGCCTTTTTGAGGACATATAATCACACTTGCTCTTTTCTCTGGATCTTCCCTTCTTCCTTGTATACTTATATAATTTTATATACTGGTCTTTCTAAATATCTCATTTTCCTGGTCCACCAGGTAACCAACTCCTCCCTGGCTGATGGATCCATTCCAGTGGCTCCAATCATGATTTATCTTTAGTTCCATCTAGTGCCTTGGTTCTCAACTCTGGTCCTATATTTTCAACTCCTCCTCTAGATATCCCTCGGGCCTCAGATGCAATATGTTCTGAACTTGCTGATTCTCAGAAGAGGATGCAGTCATGGTTCCCTTCCCCCACATCGGCTCCTCTTGTAGCTTCCCTGCCTCCATTGCCGCCATCTTCTGCCCAGGTCAGAGACGTTCAAGTCATTTTGTCTCCTGCCCCTTCCTTCCTCTCTTGTCTTGTCATTTGCCAGATCCTGCTGGTTCTGCTCCAGATGTGTTCAGACCTATCCACTGTCTATCCTCATTGCCTTAGGTCCAGCTTTCTCCTCCCTGTAGTAGTGCCTTCATCAATCTCTTCTCTTCTCAGCTTTGTGCTGGGATTTTTCCTCTAACAGACAAACACAAGCATAACTTTTCCCTGGCTCTTCATTGGCTAAAGATGTGGACCCAAACCCTTATGTGTGATATACACAGTCTGGTCCTACTCCATGAGTCCAGTCTTTTTTCTGTGCTTCTCCCCTCCTGCTTGCCCTGTGCATCACTGAAATGAACTTATATAGCTCTGGTGGCATAGTGCTTACGGCATTTGACTGCTAACCAGAAGGCTGGCGGTTCAAACCTACCAGCCACTCCTTGGAAGGAAGATTGGGCAATCTACTTCCGTAGAGATTCTGCCTCCGAAACCCAAGGAGGGGTCCCTAGGAGTTGGATTCGACTCGACGGCAGTGAGTTTAGTGAGTCCATCACTGAACTTTTGCCTTAAAAGCTTTTCTAACCCTACTTGGGGGAAATTTCTATTCATTAAGGGACAATTCAAATGACATGTTTGTGAAATCTTCCCAACTCATCCAAGCAGAGCTGGTCCCTCCCTGTTTTTACTGGCTACAACCCTGTTGATCTCTTCTATCACTACCTTAGCCTCACAGTCATGTAATCATATGTTTAGGCAGAGAGGGACTTTCTCTTATTTGTTACTCTTATTATTTGTATTCAGATGCTGGATACCAACTAGGCACTTGATAAGGGTTGATGTGGTGAATGATGGCATGCATCTGTGAGTGATTGTGCACACTGTGAGTGGGGAAGCAACATAGGATGGCCCGGAATCATCCTGGCTGTGCTGTTAAGGACACGTTCTTGCTTGGATGTGACTGTTTACCTCCCCTTGTGGTTATGCTCTCCACCAGGAAAAAGAGAAACTGTATGTGGAACTCAAGCACATCTTGGCCCGGCAGCCTGGGCCCGAGGCTGCAGAACAGCTACAGCTCTACCGACACACGCTGCAGGAGAAGACCAAGCAGCTTAAAGTAAGTGGTGGCCTCTGGTCTTGCCTGGCTGAGGAAAGGCCACATTCTGGGGAGCACACCGGACAAGTCCACTGCCTTGGCCCCATGAGCCAGCCTCTCAAATGCCACACTCCACTGAGGTCAGTCTCTTTAGAACCCCAGTCCCAGGAGGAGCAGGCAGATCTCAGAGCTTTCCTTCTCCTCCCAGACCGTTGCCCTCCGTGATTCTCAATTTCCGGAAATGGCTGGGTGAGCATGTGAGAAAGGAGTTGGAGAAAGGGTGATGGCAATAGAATGAAAATTGAGGGATAGAGTTTGCTTGGGTGGTCTCAAGATAATTTAGAGAACTTGGGTGGTGGGGAGGAGCAGAGGAAATATTTGAACATTATTGCCTGATAGAAGCAGACCACTGTGTTAGAGCAGGTTACACAAAACATAGCCTATGCTCCAGCCCCAGGGCCTTGTTTAATTGTCACATATTAAGGAAGTAGCCACAAAAGGTAAGTAAATTCTAAATGTTTGTTAGCATAAGTTCTCTTCCATGGGATGTAAGAACACCTCAGTTGGGAAGTGGGGTGTCTTAACATATGTCTCTTTAAAGTCTTCTGAAAAACTATGTGTGCACACTATTTTGAGCTTTACATCAGAGACGTCTACACACACACACACACACACACACTCAGTGCAGCACTCAGCACCTGAAGTCTGGTGCTTATTGTGCAGTGAGGGCAATGATCATTGCCTTTCTGCCTCAGGTAAAGTGGATGCCATGTTACTGGTATAGTATGGACCCTATCACAACAACGATTTTGTAAAATCACATCATTTTACATTAAAAAGGCAGAGAAGACAGAAGTGTAATTAGAATCTTAATTTTCAACTTATTACTCTAAGTGTTCATTTCACATGAGTGTCCTGAGACATAATTCAAGTTTTGCACGAGGCATGAG